TATACTTCTGTCAACTACCACAATGTCTTTGATTTTGCTTTTTTTTGTTAGTTGTACACTAAAAGAATACAGACTTTTAATAAATGCATTTGAATGGGTTATGCGAATAATAAACATAATGATATATTGAAATAAATAGAAACAGATAACTTGTTGAAATATATAGATAGCAAGAACAGGTAACTCAGATATTCAAGAAGGTCGTCAGATGAGGAATTTAAAGATTAGTAAATCGTAAAACAAATTCGAGATTTTAAAAAATCATGACTTATAAATGTTTTGAACCCTTAAAAATGTTTCAAATTGAAATGAAAATAGTTGTCCAAAGCGGTAGATCTGTATAAATTGTGTAATCCGATTTATAATAAAGCAAAAGTGAAGAATAGACTGCTTACTAATTAACTATTTGACTAAATCAACTGGTTTATCAAAATATTTTAGATTTAAATGTTATCACGTAAATAAACTCTATTGGATGAAAAGGGAAAAGTTTTTTGGTTAGCGTTTTTTTAGCGAGCTAGTTTCCTACTGGATGAGATCGCTAACCCCATGCCAACCCCTCCTCCTTTATGAGGACTTGGCACCGGCAGTAGCCTCAGAGGGGATCCGGAAGAGTACATAATACTGATTAGTTCAGTTATCCTGATTTGTTTTGGTTTTAAATTTCCTAAGGAAGTAGAATTTGAACTCTTAATTAAATATTACAGTTTGTTTCTAAATAATCTCCAGAACCCTATACTGATATTTTTACATCAATCAAAATGGAAACATTCTAGTTCCTTTGTGGTGGAATCTGTTGATCAAAACCATGTAGTCTATAAAAAGGATCATATGAATTTTAAGTTCTTCTAGAAGCCATGAATAAAAAATTTCCATTTAACCAATATTTTGATACTTAAATCTAATGTGACAGATTCATATACACATAGTACGGTGTTATAATTATTGTTCCACAAAGTTATTTTTATGCTAATTATTAGTACTGACTATAAAGGTTAAGATAATTTACTGTTATATCTAAAAAACAAGATGTAAGTAAGTGGCTTAGACCATAGATATCATGATTTCAGATAAAGCATATTTTGTAAAAGCCAATATTTGTAAAATATATTCATTGCTTTCTATACTATATCCTAACATAAAATCTTTCTTTCATATATACTACATCATTGAATAAACTGCTTCTATGAATCCGATATTCGTCTTGCTATGCTAATGATGTATGACAATTTGATCCTACCTTGTAACTGACTGATTAACTTTTAATGAACGCATTGCTCTAATTATGGATCATTTGACTATCTTCTTTTTTTACTTTGAGATGAAATAAAGGTATAGTTTCATTGAATCATTCTATCAAATTGGTTTAATATTTGGTTGATTATTCACTAATAAGATAAGTGACTGTCTTATTTTACTGATAATTAATCATTCTGCTTTTCATATATTACTCTACAATGTTAATGATCTTTAATAATCGAAGGAAGAGTGGTTAGTTGAATATTCAGTAATAGAGCAATTGTGAATTAGTACCTAATTTCTATGAATAATTAATATAAAAACGGTTTAAATTTAAATATCCGTATAGAAAGCGAGCTATAGCTATGACCTATGTATCTTACACTACAGGAGCTCGTCCTATAAGATCAAACGGTAAGCTGCTAGACTTTCTATCTTCGAACGTTTGATCAACTTCAAACATTCAACTACTTCAGATTTTGATGTAAATGTTAAACAGTAAAGTCCATGTCATCTTCCATGATGAAATCAAATGATTAAAGTGTACCATTCAAAATTGATTTTAGTGATCTAATTAGTATTCAGAAATGAATTTCAGTTTGAGTAATTTATTAATATTTTGATAGATTACAATCACTATGTTCATATTACACATGGATTATAGCTAGAAGTGGATATAAAGATCCATATTTCAGTCCATATATTAAGCTTCGTTCTAATACACCAGAGTTCTGGTGATCATATTCATACTGAAAATTGAATCTGGTACTATAGGCTTTAAACATCTACGTGTTACCCACTGAGCTACTGAATTCAAATAATTTATAGATCATGTAACAGATATTAATTTTGAATTGTTTTTTTTATGTCTAGTTCTGAAATTGACGAATCCCCAATAGCATATCAACATTTTAAATGGATTCTCTGAATGACAACACTTAATTACAAACATCACTGTGAAACTCCACATTGGGATATAGGTAAATTCAAATGACGAGTCCCGAATACAAAGAAACGAATATCCTAAATTTAACTATTAGTCACCACATAACTTTAATGAGATCAATATGTCAAATTGAACGGTTCCAGTTCAATCGAAGATTCTAAACCAATTCACTTTAGATAATTTTGATTGAGATCATAAATCGAAAGTGTTAGACCACCAATGAAAAGGTGAAAACACTGGACGGCCGTTTCGTCCTGATGTGAAACTCTTCAGTAGTGAGCATCCACTATCCCGCACCTGAGGGACTCAAACCCGGGACCTTTGGTCTCGTGCGCAAACGCGCTACGAAGCAAGGGAAAAATTGAAGATTATATATAAACAAATAAGCGTACAAATATGATAATGATAACATTCATTAGAAGTATTCGAATAATTCGACTAATTTACAATTGATATTATTATTATTATACTTATGTTAAGTCATGCATTCACTTTGAAATCTATTTCTCTTCTTGTCATTCTCTTAAAATCTCTCTTGAATTCGTTCAGTTTTATATTTTCTCAATTAATAAAACATAGGAAAAGTATAAGGATTGACGACTGGCTACTAAATAAATGCATAACTATAACCAGAAATGTTGCTTACGTTCCTATTTGTGTGTGCGTGCGTGCGAACCTGCTAACAGAAATAAATGTAGCTGTTTATACATTAACGAGTGAATAGCTAGACAACTCTTATTTTCTATATACACATTCACAAACACACATAAATTCGATGGGGGAAAAGAAAGTTTATCTAAATAAATTAAATGTAAGCAGGTAGAAAACAATTGAAACTACCACAACGACGACGACCATAATAATAACAACAAAAAACACGAAAAGAAATATGCAAAACAGTTGAGTGAGACAAATGAAAGAAAACAAGAAAAGAAAATCAGAGTCGGTTATAAATGGAGCATAACAAATTATCTCTTACAAGAGCACTATATATATATATATATATATATATATATATATATATAATGCATAAAGACAAGATGCTAGATGGAAACAACTTAGGGAATGTGTGGCATAATAATGAATAAATAGCTGTAGAAATATCTCCCTACATTATTATTATTATCATTACTATTATTACTCTTATTATTATTTTATCATTATTATTATTAATTTCGACTGTTATGATGTAGACACTCATTTTTACTGTTTTAAAAAGAAAATGTCGAGTTTTCTTCCCTCAAGTATTTATTTCTGTTTAATATTATAGTTAGATTGTTTGAGAGGAATTATTATTTTTTTTACTAATCTTGTAACTATGGGAACATATATATTTAAATACTCTTGTATTTTACTTCAAATGTTTTTTTATCTAATTTATGATTTTTGCACGAGTTCTAAACAAAAATATGTATCAAGTCTGGACTTGATACAGTTGATGTTGTTGATTGAGATCATGAAGCGATCGATGTTAGATCACTGTTGAAAACCTGAAAGCACTGAACGCTCAACCTACTAGACCAATGAGCCGACATCCAATAGTGTTAATGTCTGACCTTAACCAATCCACGAAATTCCGCGACCATCTTCCATTGTGCCGAGATCGATATCTGTCTATACCCTCACTTTAGTAGGTTGAGCGTTTGTGTGCGAGAGTGAAGGCCATGAGTTTGAATCCCGCGTGCGAGATCATGGATGAGCATGGCTCAGGAGTCCCTTTATAGGATAAAACGGCCGTCCAGTGCTTCCAGGTTTTCAATGGTGGTCTATCATCAATCGGTTCATGATCTCAATCAATAACTTAATAATCTCCACAACCCTACACGGTTGATGTTGTCGACAATACGCAGTAAAGTAAAAACACTAGAATTATCTGACCAGACGAAACTAAAATGAGATAAGAATGAACTACAATATAAATCAAAATGTATTTATTCATTAACGTAATTGAACTAGATACAATAACTTCAAGATGGTTGTAATTAATGATGTCTAGTAATTAAAATCTACGGAAAGCAGCTTAATATAGAAGATTTCAGTTAATTCAAATCGTTTATTTGCACATTCTGCACGATGATTCACATTAATCTATGTGAATTAATGATTTCTTTACAAATAAATAATGGCTACTGAATAACCAGAATCCAAAGTCTTCAGTAGAATCATTCCTAGATAAAGTTTGATAACATACATAATAATCGAATAATACTGTAATTTAATAGCAGTTTGATAGCAGGTCAACCAGAAACATATATAAGAATCGAAGAAGTTGAAACTCAAAAGTTTAATTCAATAAAGAGAAGGTCCATTGAAACAGTTTATTTGTATAGTTGAAAATCAGAGTTTTTCCAAAACAAACACCATTTACTGTCATGTTGATTATCATAATCCAATAAAGTGAGGCATTAGTTACAGACTGAAATTTTGAAAGATTCAACAGTGAATAAAATTGTTTTGAATCACAAAAATAATTTTAAAAAAGTTTTGTACAAATTTTATAAATACCTTTAACTAAAAATATATACTACTGATACTACTATTAAAAATAATAAACTATAGTTTACTATAAGCAAAGATGGATATTGGCTAGCAGTGAAATCCAGGATGCGCGTTTCATCCTATTTGGGACTGGTCAGCCGGATGTACCTGACCCTGTGACTTAAGACTATATCAAGACAATCTGAACAAGATGTACATATGCCAATAAGAGACTGACCAATTGCAGTTCTAAACATCAATGTGAAGATTCAAGTAAAACAATACCAAGTGAATGTAGTTTACGATGTCCTTATTTTTTGTTTATTTTTTTTCAAAGGACATGGTGGAATAAATCAACTTGGAGGTGTTTTTGTCAATGGACGTCCATTACCAAATCAAGTTAGACAACAAATAGTTCAATTGGCCAATCAAAATGTACGACCATGTGATATTAGTAGACAATTAAGAGTTTCACATGGTTGTGTTAGTAAAATTTTAGGACGGTAAGTATAATCTTATATTATTGTAATTAATTATAAGTGAATATATATTTGAGTGTTATCTCATTTTTTAGACAACTATCAAGCATTGATTTCATGCAGTTTATAGGAAGCAATTATATCTTATTTCTTATCATCCAGAGATTATTCCTGACACTCTTATATCCTAATCAGTATAGTATATCAAGATATGGTATGTAATAGAAAGTGTAATATATGTTACTATTATTTTAGTAAAGGATAATTTGACATTACAATCAATCAGTTAACAGAATTACTTTTTCAATCCTATTCTTGGGATTACCTCTGTTTACTTAATTGTCCCACTATTAAAAACTAACAGTGATATGTGATTAGATGACTGAGACTTGCATTGATTTATTGCACAGTGATCAATGTTTTGTTAGCCCTATAGTGCTTAAACGAATTACAAGGATCCGGTTACAATGTGATAACCAGTCTAAACGACCTAATATTGTGTGTACTGTTAATTACTGTAAATATCTCAATTCCACCGGTCAACTGCGAGGCAAAAGCTCAAAGTTGGTATCTAAGGCCATAGTATTGGGTGACATCATTTCAAATCCCACAGGTGACATCAGTTAGCTCAATATTCTAGGTATATCTTATTGAAGAGGTTTGCCTAGAATGTGACATAAATTTAGAGTATCTCAGCGACAACCTTAAACTGCCTAACAGCACTAGTAACTTAGGGGTGGCCTCTAATGACAATTTTACAATTGTGTAGTTAAAAAATGATACACAAAAGAGTTATGTCTACTATTAAACTTTTTTATAGGCAAGGGAATGTTTTTGTTTACACTTCAGGTGATGTTATATGACAAAGCTAATCAATATTTTGTACTCTGGAAATGTTCCTGTTGACTGGCATTCGAACAGACCTTATGAAACTTCCAAATTAAGCCAAAACTTTACTTCACTGAGTACCTGCATTTACTATATTTACATTTAAATAAGTTGATAATTATTACTAACATCAACATTTATAAATAGGATATACAGCCCGTTGCTTTTAAATGCTAAGCGAAACGTATAGCTTTATAACTTGTGATAATTTGTAGGTAAACCAATAATTTATCAACCTCTTCTGTTGGATGTACATATTGTGTGGCTATGAAAATTTACCTAATAGTTATACTACTTCCAGACAAAGACTACTCATGTACTTAGATTTAAATCAAACTTTTTAGTAGAGACAAATAGCACTATTTAATTATCAATAATCGAAAAGTTAAAGTATGACTTTAGCTTGAAACTGAGTTATCGAAGGTTGTATACTTTTGCTATCTAATAGTTTATTTAATACATAAAGAAGTCTCGTCTTACACTGCTCACATACAAATTAAGTAGTATACTAGCGTATAATAAATTTTCCTTTTAACAACGTAAACTATTTCAAAATCAGGACATTTTTATTTGACTGATATCGATCAATTAAGATAAGAAGAAATGTGTCACGATTTCAAGTCACGCTAATGACTGCCTTATAAAGATTCCCATTCCTAGCTTTGGTTAATCTGCAATTTACTGACGTCGTAAATTGATATAATTGATCAATAATTACATCTGTTTAAACATATCTGACTTTGTTGGTCTGGAATTGATGAATCCCTACTGGCATATCTACATTCTAAATGGATGCTCTTGATAACGACATCTATTTACAAATATCGCTGTGAAACTCAATATTGAGAAATAGGTACATTTAAATGACGAATTCCAAATACAATGGAACTAACATCTTGAATTCAACTGCTAGTCACTACTAATCATGACTTTAATGAAAGCTTACAACTAAATGACACTGGTTGAGGAATCTACTCAGAATGAATATATGTCAACAGTGATTGATCAAATACAGTGGTTAACTTCAACGGAAAAATGTAAACGATTACCAATACAATGTTTGTATGTTGTAAGAAATTGTTTTCATATGAACATAATCTTCGATGTAGTCGGAGGTTAATATCCAGTTACCTGATACTTCTTAAATGATTTATAATTTATAATGTATTTTTAATTATTTAGGTATTATGAAACTGGAAGTATACGACCTGGTGTTATTGGTGGATCAAAGCCAAAAGTTGCAACGGCTTCCGTTGTTGAAGCTATCTGCAAATATAAAGAGGATAATCCAACTATGTTCGCATGGGAAATACGTGATCGTTTATTAAAGGATCAAATATGTACAGTAGAAAATGTACCATCTGTATCATCAATTAATCGTATTGTTAGAAATAAGGCAAGTTAGTATAATATGAAGGAAAAAAAGTACAATTTATATACTGATTACATCCCATTTTTGTGGCCAGTTGATCTGATTCGAATTTAGATGAACGTATAAATATTCTGTGAACGTAGATCTTCCATTTAACTCCATGTATTACATAGGCTAACCCTGTTTGTATTACGGCAGTAACAAGAAGCCAAAAACGGGTTGAGTTGGATGAACTTATTTCAAGTACTTATTTATCTAGACAGAAACTCATAATGAAAAGTAGTTAATCAAAGTGAAGCCAAGAAGGCGAGTTAGGCAACACGTTTTGATAAAACGTAACTCAACATTTATAGAGAGAAGAACTAAGCTAAAGACATGAGATGAATAGAGTACAAAATACACACACATATGCTCATATAAAGCCAGTCAAAATTAATAAGCGAATAAGTGACAAGGTCAAACGTGACTCTGGGAGAATGAATAAAAAGGTCTGTTTGGAAGCAAGAATAACCCGTTTGCGGTTGATATAGTACTACATAGTACAACATTATCGTATAAAAGTATTTTTACCTACATTTGTATTTGGATGTTTATTGTAACTTATTGTGACATGATTGAAGTCCTTTTAAATATATTTGTTTCATTTCTTTATTACTTACTTGTGCCTATTACCTCTCGTAGAGGAGTATAGGCCACACACCAGAATTCACCATCGAAATTTGTCCTGGGCAATCCTTTCCAGTTGTTATTCATCCTTTTAATGTCTGTTTCGAATTCTCGATGCAATGTGTTCTTTGATTTTCCTTATTTCCGTTTTCCCTCAGGATTCAAGGTTAGCGCTTGTCTCGTGATGCAGTTTGGTGATTTCCGTAATGTATGTTCCATCTAACTCCACAGTCTTTACCCAATTTCCTCTTGAGTTGAGATCAGGTTTGTTCTCTCTCCCACAGTAGGTTGTTGCTCATAGTATGCAGTCAACGGACATTGATTATCTTGTGTAAGTAAATGTTTACAAATACTTGTGCATTTTTGACACGATGGTTGTGGTGGTTCTTCAAGTTTCAGCTCCATGCAGTAGAACTGTCTTGACGTTCTTATTAAAGGTTCTGATTTTGATGTTGGTTGACAGTTGTTTTGAGTTTAACATGTTCTTCAGTTTTAGGAATGCCGCTATGGTGTTTGTATGAACTAATGATTCCTTTGTACTTGATTACTGCCTGATTTCGAATTTCAAATACAATATGTTCGTTTGTTCTCATCTATTTCTTTATGGTCTAAATTGAGTTATTTTTGAGATTCCTAGTTTGTATAACAATGCAAATACTTCTAATTATCACATCCACCCTGCATCAGATACTCCTCGTTCATCAGTGATTCTGCCCAGAAATGTGAAAGTTCTCATCTCTTCTATAGCTTCTCTATGAAGTGTGATTAGGATGGTGTTCTCCGTGTTGTATTTGAGGATCTTGGCTTTTTCCTTATGCATGTTAGAGCATACTGACGCAGAGGCTGGCACTACACTGGCTGTCTTGACCTGCATTTGCTCGTGTGTATGAGGTAGAAGGGCTAGGTCATCTGCGAAGTCCGAATCGTTAAGTTGCATTCAAGTTGTCCATTGCATTTCATGCTTCATGGAACATACATTACGGAAATCACCAAACTGCATCACGAGACAAGCGCTAACCTTGAATCCTGAGGGAAAACGGAAATAAGGAAAATCAAAGAACACATTGCATCGAGAATTCGAAACAGACATTAAAAGGATGAATAACAACTGGAAAGGATTGCCCAGGACAAATTTCGATGGTGAATTCTGGTGTGTGGCCTATACTCCTCTACGAGAGGTAATAGGCACAAGTAAGTAATTAAATATTTTACACTGGGTTTGAATTGGAAATTTTCACTGTTTTTGTTTCGAAAAAGTATAGTATTTTTATGTCAGCTTGTTGGAATCCAATTATTTTGAATGTCTTAATTTTAATCCATTTGTAATCCAGTGGAATTCTCCTCCATTTATTGCATACAACTGTATTTATACTCAAAGGAGTTATAGCGACTCACGTGCTAATGGGTTTATTTTCATTTAACCCAGTTAAGCCCTTTTTGTTAACTTATTTAGTGGACAAAGTCATCCATGATATAACAACTTGTTATACTATCTTTATTATTATGCTTGTATGAAATACATATGCTTGAAAATTGTTTAGCGCCTACGCATGTATTCATTCGGCTAGCTTCATTATTAACTGCTTAATCTATTCGCTGACTCATCCATTTTCCTATACATATATATATGTGTACATTTGCACCCATTAACTACTACAACTACTACTACTACTACAGCTACTTGCTACTGCTACAATCGTAGTTCGCTTGCTCATTCATTTTGCCTCTCTGCTGTCTGGTCCGAATTATCTACTAAATAAACTGTAGTAGCTGCTTCTCTTTGCCTTCTGATTTCAAACATCGTTGAAGATTATACGATAACGGTTCGAGGGTGATTAATTATAGAAGCACAGCCACTACAGAATTGGTAATCCCGACGTGAGAACGGAAAGCGAATTTTGGCGAAATAATCAAATTTCAAAAATCCGACTACCTTCATCTCAATTTGGATTACCAAATGAACTATAATTGCAACTGTGGATTTATATTATTATTCTAATTACACTTACATTATTTCGCAAACATTATTAAACGTGACAATTATAATCATAATAAATAACAATTATCCATAAACAATTGATATATTGGTGCAATTTAGTAAGTCTGTTCCATTTTATAAATTGTGCCATTTTTTTATTATCATTGTTTTTGCTCATCTATTCTTCCTTGTGACTGTTAAGTTATTTTCGTGTGCTACTTAATTTTTATAAGCATGTCTTATGAAAACACAGTTTCAAGCGTACAGCAAGCCTCGTCCGTGAGGTCTCTTAACCTCCCTGCCCCTTCTTTTAAAATAACAGACCCAAAACTCTGGTTTATAAGACTTGAAAATTATTTTCTCGCTAACCGCATTCTTTTGCAAAAGGATAAGTTCGGCCTGACAAGCACACTACTCCCAGACGAAGTAGCTGACAGCGTTCGAGAGGCACTAGCAAAACCAGACACAGAGAAACCATACGACGTGCTAAAAGAGGCAGTAATTAAAACTCTCTCTCTCAGTGACCAACAAGCCGTCGAACAACTCCTTAATCAAGTACAAATTGGAGATAGAACCCCATCACAGCTAAAAAATTATATGAAAAGTCTACTTGGCGATAGACACATTGACAATAATCTCTTTTATCAACTGTGGCTCCGCCGACTCCCGGCAAAATACAGCAGATCCTAGCTGTGGGAGATACGGATGCTGATTTAGACAATATAGCAAAGATAGCCGATAGAATATACGAAAGAAGCAAGCAAGCAAGCCCTCCACTACACAACGTGACGGTAGACGATAGACTTGATACTCTACAGAAGGAAATAAATGTTTTATGCCTCAAACTCACAGAACTAACGCAGAGAGAAAAGCCACGAAGGTCATCGCGAGATCGCTCGCGTGAAAGGACCCGGTCAACTTCTAGACGACGCACAACTCCCGCGATATGTTGGTATCATCAAATGTTTGGCTACAGGGCTAGAAAGTGCCTACAACCTTGTAGATTTAACAGGGCTAGTAACCGATACCCACGAGTATCAATGGCAACGGCATCAACGCACATAATGCCTGAAAATAGTCGCCTCTTTTATATACAAGACCGAACCACTGGCGCACAATTCTTAGTTGACACTGGAGCGGAAATTAGCGTAGTACCTCCATTTAACGAGGAAAGAAAAAACATTAATCCGTCATTAGTGTTAAGAGCAGCAAACAAATCAGATATTAAAACATATGGCAAACGGCAATTGTCCCTAGATTTTGGACGTGGCGCTTCATACCGCTGGAACTTTGTCATAGCAGACGTATCGATGCCCATAATAGGCATAGATTTCTTATGTAACTTTGACCTGCTAGTAGACTCTAGACGACACAGACTTATAAACGGCAGTCAAACCACTTCGATAAGAGGAATACTTACGGAAGCCGTTTCAATGAACCTTGTGATAGATAAAAGTCGTGGTGATCCATATAAATTGTTGTTAAGGGAGTTTCCTGAACTCGTAAAAGTAACATACAATAAAGCGGATCTCAAACATTCTATTCAGCATCACATCGTAACGAATGGTCCACCAATCAATGCAAGACCAAGAAGGTTAGATCCCAAAAGACTAGCTATCGCAAAACAAGAATTCGACAAGCTAATGAGGCTAGGCATTATAAGGCCATCGAGCAGCCCGTGGGCATCCCCGCTACATATGGCCCCGAAAAAGAATGGAGAGGTTAGGCCATGTGGAGACTACAGAGCACTGAACAAACAAACAGTAGCGGACAGATACCCTATACCGCACATCCATGATTTCACCTACAGTATAGAGGGCACTACTATCTTCTCGAAGATCGACTTAGTCAGAGCATACTACCACATCCCTGTTGCCCCACAAGACATACCGAAGACAGCAGTAACAACCCCATTTGGGCTATATGAATTCCTGCGTATGCCTTTTGGACTGACTAACGCAGCACAAACCTTTCAACGGTTTATCGACCAGGTCATTAGAGGTTTACCTGGGGTATACGCGTATATCGACGATTTATTAGTAGCTAGCACCACTAAAGATGAGCATATACAACAACTACGGCAATTATTTATGCGACTCAGAGAACATGGTATTTCTATAAATATTGAGAAGTGTGAATTCGGAAAGGAATCTTTACAGTTCCTAGGTCACAATATAACTTCTCAAGGCATCACACCAATAGCAACAGAAGTCGACGCCATTAGGAATTATCCCCTACCCGACTCATGGAAAAAGTTACGCCGATTTCTCGGGTTAATAAATTATTACAGACGATTTATCCCGAATTGCGCGTCAATATTGCAACCACTAACAGATGCATTACGCGGAAACGCACGGACATTCCAATTATCACCAGACGCGATTCAAGCATTCGAGAACGCTAAAAAAGCACTAAATAAAGAAGTGACACTAACTAGACGAAAGAGCGAAACACCGTTAGCTATCATGACGGATGCATCAGACGTAGCGGTAGGAGCCGTTTTACAACAATTAGTAAATGGCATATGGGAACCGCTCTCATTTTTTTCGAAAAGACTGAATCCGACACAAACAAGATATAGTACTTTCGGAAGAGAACTCCTAGCGATTTACTTGGCAATAAAACATTTCCGACATATGATTGAGGGTACTATTTTCACAGTATATACAGACCATAAACCCCTCACAAAAGCATTGAACGCCAAACAGGACAACTACTCGCCGAGGGAAATCCGACAATTAGAATTTATTTCCCAATTCACGTCCAACATACAGTATATCAAAGGTAACAGTAATGAAGTGGCAGACGCGTTATCCAGAACGATGGTCAACGCTCTCATCCAGTCTGAAATCGATTATCACAAGTTAGCAGCATTACAAAATATCGACGTCGAGTTAAACAGACTAAAGTCTGCCAACACAACCTCGTTAGTTCTCAAAGAAACTCCATTGGAAGAAGTAAGCATCACCTGCGATATTTCTACAGGTCAACCAAGACCATTTATTCCAAAGCCGCTAAGGCGAAACATTTTCGAAGCCATGCATAATATTTCGCATCCCGGAATAAAGGCCACCATCAAACTAATCAGCGAACGTTTTGTATGGCCAAGTATGAATCGGGATATTCGTAATTGGACGCAGGCGTGTATAAAATGCCAGAGAGTTAAGATACATCGCCACACCAGTTCCGCAGTAGGTCATTTCCGTCATCCCGATAACAGATTCGAGCACGTACATATCGATATTATAGGACCACTGCCGGTTTCGAATGGCTTCAGTTACATTTTCACTTGCATTGATAGATTCACACGATGGCCTGTAGCTGTGCCCATAAAAGATATTACAGCCGAAACTATCGCAAAGACCCTAGTAGAGCATTGGATCTCCCATTATGGTGTACCTACTAATATTACAACCGATAGAGGAGCTCAATTCGAGAGCCGCCTCTTCCAACAACTCACAGAACTACTCGGAATCAAACGAATTCGCACAACATCCTACCATCCGATGTCGAATGGTATGGTAGAGAGATTGCATCGGCAACTTAAAGCTTCTCTTACAGCTGTCATCAGCAATAACGATTGGGCCAGCAAGCTACCGTTAGTCATGTTGAGCTTAAGATCAACAATCAAACAAGATATAGAATGCTGCCCAGCAGAGTTGGTTTATGGAACCACACTACGTCTGCCAGGAGAGTTTTTCACTGCAGGTAAAAGCGTTCCAACTGATATAGCGGACTATGTACAGCGTCTTAAGCAGCATATGAGTAGTCTAAGGATAACGCTTCCGAGACAACATCAACGCCGTGTCTACATACCCAAACAACTAAGTGACTGTACCTATGTGTTTATAAGAAGGGATAATGTGCAACGTCCCTTGCAACCGGCCTACGATGGTCCATTTAAGGTGATTAAAAGAGACGACAAAACTATTACGGTAGACAAAGCTGGAAAAACGGATGTAATTAGCATCGACCGAGTCAAACCAGCTTTCATCGAAGCCTACGATCAGCCAGTACATACAGATACTGCGAAAGCCGTTGAATCATCGAAACGTCAGTTCCAATCATCAACGACATCGACGAACACAAACAAAGAGAATCCAGTAACCACCAAGTCTGGTCGAAGAGTAAGATGGCCCCAACGTTATGTCGCTGCAATCTTCTATTAATAATCTTCTATTATTCTAAATATTAATTATAACTTCCACTTCATTGTATACACATGCATTACTAATTTCATGTTATACGCTATAAAACTCAACATATCTTATGTACCCCTATACTTACACGTATAATTTTTATTTAAAATGTAAAGCAATACCGCATTCCTTCTATTTATTGCTATTATTTTTTATAACCTCACGGACGGGCACAAAACAAATGTACAGCACACACTAACTTCATCTTAACTTTGTACAAACCATTTTTTCAAACGATTGTAACTACCCTGCTCAGTTTACTATTTTTTATGCAAACACAGACATTTTTCCATATATCTTTGTTTGCAGGGGGGAGCTATTATAGCGACTCACGTGCTAATGGGTTTATTTTCATTTAACCCAGTTAAGCCCTTTTTGTTAACTTATTTAGTGGACAAAGTCATCCATGATATAACAACTTGTTATACTATCTTTATTATTATGCTTGTATGAAATACATATGCTTGAAAATTGTTTAGCGCCTACGCATGTATTCATTCGGCTAGCTTCATTATTAACTGCTTAATCTATTCGCTGACTCATCCATTTTCCTATACATATATATATGTGTACATTTGCACCCATTAACTACTACAACTACTACTACTACTACAGCTACTTGCTACTGCTACAATCGTAGTTCGCTTGCTCATTCATTTTGCCTCTCTGCTGTCTGGTCCGAATTATCTACTAAATAAACTGTAGTAGCTGCTTCTCTTTGCCTTCTGATTTCAAACATCGTTGAAGATTATACGATAACGGTTCGAGGGTGATTAATTATAGAAGCACAGCCACTACAGAGTAATTCAGCCATCATATTTACTTTTCTGATGTCATATTTACCATTAATGTATGAAATTAGAATGAACAGATAATCATCAAAATGAAGACAGAATTTCTACAAAATTAAGACTGTAATTGTACATTGACGAAAACACATCAAAATTTAACTATAATAAATACGTAAAATTGTACTATAAGAGGGTTTCTAGAAATTGATTTTTAAGTAGTGTTCGTCAATGACCTGGATTCTTTTTCAAATTATTCATTCCCCGGTCAATAGTTGGCAGACATTTTGAACTTTGCACAAAAAATTGCCACTTTCTTCAATGTGATTGATACAACATCTCATAAATTTACTAGTATTCTGATAATTTAACGTACATGCTCCAACCATATCAATTGATGAAGATTCATAATCTCAGCAATCGATTAGCCTACTTTACCTAGTACTCGACGTCTAACATCAGTATTGTTAACATAGCTGTCCCAACATAAGCGAGAAATATTTTAAATGCATTTGTAAGCAAACCTTAGTAATGCACGAATATCCCCATATTTTTAATGACTAGATTTCATAACTTCAAAATAAAAAAGAGAGAACTACAGGACAGTATACTCGTCTTTTAGTTGGCAGACGGATGGTGTACACACATTACAGGTGATGCAAATCGCCAAAAGCCAAGTGAGCTTTTTGAATCCAACTCAAGGTTTCGTCAGATGACAATCCACTCGGACTGATGAAACTTCCTAGATAAGTGAAGTGATCCGAATATACATTAACTGCACTCCATATCATCATTTAAATGTTGATGAACGTCTGTCCTGATATCATTTCAGTCTAAATTTCAAAATTCTTCTCTAAACAAACAACTTGTTACTGTTTTTTTCTATCTAACTGACATAGGATAACCAAACTTCAATGGAACCACATAATGTATTATCCAGAAAACGTAGTCATCGTCATATTCATAATACATCACCAACAAATAAAACTCAATTAAGTCAAGATTCAAATTATCATGATTCACCTGCAACAACACCTTTAAGTCTTCAAACTGATTCTTCACCAAAATCAATTAAACTATGCGATTTTGGACAAGAAAACTATATAAATCATAGTCCAATAACATTATCAGTAGTTGGAGGTAGATCAACATCAATAGGAACTTTAGCAACAACAATAACAACAACAACAACAAAATCTAATACATCATCTCATTCGGTAAGATCATCATTTAAACAATTAATGTTCACAGATAAAACAACTTCAAATCTTTTAAATCCCGATATAAAACGTTTTCATCATTCACCGACAATGTTTAATAGTTCAATAAATGGAAGGATATATGATAATAATAGTAATAATAATAATAATAATAGTAATAATAATAATAATAATAATAATAATAATAGTTATCCAGAAGTTTCTTATACATTTCCTAATAATAATAATACCATTAATTCATTGCAATATTCACAATTTACACCATATTTTAATCGAAATTATGACGAAACTATTGAACATTTAAATCAAGCGGTAAATTCAAATTTATCAAATGTTATTTCATCAGAAAATTGTGAATCATTTAAAAATCAATTAAATAATTTAAATTTTAAATTTATTGATGAAATAAATGAAATAGGTGAAAGAAATTATTTTACTAATTATAATAAAACTATTAATACTACTACTAATACTACTGCTAATACTACTACTATTAATGATATTAAAGATATTACATTACCAAAAATTATAAATACATTACCAAATGATATATATAATAAATTAAATAGGAATATTATCAATGATGAAAGATTATTACATAATCATTATATTCATGATGAATATATTCAACGTTCTATGTGTAATCAATTATATCCTTCATTAACTAATACAAATAATACTGATGATTATAATATTACTAATAATGATGATAATAGTAGTATTACAAATTATTTAGTACAAAAATCTGTCAGTAAACAATCTATATCAAATATAAATACATTAAATGATATAACATATTTCAATAATGGATCTAATCATATTGGTTTATCAACTGATTATAGTATAACTGGATTATTAGGTTTAACAATGGCAGCATCAAATGGTTTTAATACATTATATGGAAATGGATATACATTTGGTGGGAAAAATAAGAACTTGAATTTATTGATTAATGATACAATTGAAAATTTTCATATCCAACAACAACAACGACAACAAGAAAGTGAACAACAAGGTCATTTAAACGTTGAGTTTTCACATCAACAAAATACAATTCCACAATATTCATCATCTCTTTCTCATCTTCATCATCATCATCAACATCATCGTCATCATCATCATCATGATAATAATCATACACATGATCCAGAGAAATATTCTGATTATGTACAACAACATCAGAATTTTCTTTCTTATAAATTATCTCAAAGTCTTAATGTACATAATGAGAATGAAAATCAAATTGATGAAAAGAATCAACTGGATAACATAGAGTGTTCAACATTTAAACCAGAAATGTTTAAAAATTACAATGGATTAATAATTAATAATAATACATCTCATAGGAATGATATGAATGAAATTGTAGAAACATTGTCCATCTCAGCATCAACATCATCATCATCATCATCTTCTACTTCAATACCGATAATAGCAACAACAATGGTAGCGAAAGCAACTACAGTAATGACAGATACAGTAACACGACCACAATTGTTCACATCATCCTCATCATCATCGTTAAAATTAATTTCAAGTACGCCAATTCATAAAAACAAATTGATAGGAAAAGAGCACATCAATATACATCGTAAAAATCGATTACAGAATTTCGAAGTGAAATGTACAGGTTAGTGTTATAATGTTGTAATGTTTACTGATTGTTCTTGTTTAGGTTTGATTAATCCATGTTTTGCGAGTAAATTATGAAACGATAGTTACTCACTCACTCACTCACTCACTCACTCACTCACTCACTCACTCACTCAATCAATCAATCAATCAATCAATCAATCAATCAATCAATCAATCACTTAATAACTTACTTACTTACTTCCTCCCTTCCTTGCCTTCCTTCCTTACTTACTTACTTAGTTACGCCTGTTACTCTCAATAGAGCGTAGGCCGTCGAACATTGGGTGTCATACTTACCAAACGTTGTCTGAATTCATTCTGTATAATTGATAGTTAAACGAGATTTTCAGTAATCGATGAATCTAAAATTTCAAAATCATTAGAACTCATGAAAAATGATAGTCATATAGAGTACTTAAATGTATATTAGCAAATACTTAATAGGAACATTAACGCTGGGGCACTCGTATGATAAATTATTCCACTGATACATCAACTGCTGATCCTCAGTGCATATGAAGTAACAAATACATTATACTAAAATGTTATGACATACTGTTTAGTGATAGATGTTGAAATCTTGAACGATAGTATTTAATTACTACACAATATTCTACATATTATTTCATTGATAACAACAAATAAATGTATTAAAGTCTGATTATCAGTATAGGGTTGTGGAGATTATTAAAATTTTGCTTGAGATCTCGCGAGCGGGATCGTAGATGCGCACTGCTGAGGAGTCCCACAATGGAACGAAGTGGCCGTCCAGTACTTCCAGGTTTTCAATGGTGGTCTAACATCAATTGGTTCATGATCTCAATCAAAAGTCTGATTAGTTTGAACAGTTTGTTGACGATGTTTTTGAGTAACAGATTAAATAATAAGATTTTGAACTATTGAATAAAGCGTAATTCAACAAAGAATTATGAATAATTTTTTGCTGGTTTATGATAATGAAATACATGACATGCTAATGGATTTAATTAACTATTTATCGCTAGTCCTATGTATCATTTCATTTAAAGATAAAAATATTGTGTTTCTGTCGCATTTCATTTTATCAGTATATGGTTGTGGAAATAGTTGAGTTTAGACTGATATCATGAATGGATCAATGTTAGATGATTGAAAAGCTGTAAGCAGTGAACAGCCATTTTGTCCTCCTATGGAACTCCTCAGCAGTACGCATCCACGATCTCACACGTGGCACTCGAACCCAGGACCTCTAGTCTCGCTAGCGAACGCTTAACCTCTACACCACTGAGTTGGCATCCAACAGTGTTAATGTCTTACGTCAAACAATCCAAAATATTGCGCGACCGTCCATCATTGTCTTCAATGAGTAACTGTCTCACGACTGACAAAGATGAACTCCACTGGTCAGAGCTTCATTTTGCTTTAAAGAATTTAATTAATAAATGATGTGATCAACATCACAAGCTAATCTTAGTTAGGTAACAAATGGAAATAAAAAAGTATTAGATAGCCTAATGTGCTAATCCTAAGCAGTGAGCATTCACAACCTCACATATATAATTGTAACATTCATGTGCTCGTTAGTAACTTGTTTGAAGTGGTGATTTAAGAAGAAATCTTGACCAGTGGAGTTTAATCATCTTGAATGTGTAACAATTACCTAGAAAGTGATTGTACAACTTGAAGAAAAACAAATAAACCTTTGGATCCCAACTCAATAGTCTAAATGTTCACCGAGTGACTTGAAATCCCTCGAATTGATCCTCAGTAGAATCATTGGTCGCCACTAGTAAAGGGTCTCATACTGGGTCTGAACAATTGTCCAAGGTGTTTCGGTTTAGGATGTTCATTCCGAAATTCAACAATCTAAACTTCCTATATTATAAAAACTAAATGAACAATATTATTACTAGTACAGATCTTGTTTATTCAGCTTCATGTATTCATAACGGAATCTCAGTCAATCATTGTTAATATATATGTCTGTTGAGAATTGATTTGATAAAACTTTATAGAATAAATGAATTATGTTAAAATATGAACATCAACAATGAGATGCAGGAACATCTAGATGATAATTTTTTAAATAATTTGAATAGTTGAAATCATGAGTCAGTCGAAGCAAGACCATCATAGAAAACCTGGAAGCACTGGACGGTCGTTTCGCCCTAGTATGGAACTCCTCAGTTGTGCGCACCAAACCCATGACCTATCAGTTAAGCGCTCGCACGCTTAAACACCAGACCACAAAAATCTCCATAAAACTCCTTCTGATAATTCCTAAATAAGACAGAATCTATATATCCCTGATTCTATTGTTACCCACAATTCATCTATTCTACAAAATAAACAATAATTAAAAAGAGTATACAAAAAGAGGAACAGACAAACTTATATCATTTCCTCTTAGTTGTATTTATAAATTATTCAAATTACAGTCATAATGAGTAGTATTATTTTTCGTGTTAATGATTCTAAAGGAAAATATTGAGAGAAAACGAAAAAAATTAGTTTTATTATTGTTTGTTTTCTTTTCTCTTTTTTTTCTCGTTATATTTAGTCTTTTTCTTTTTAAAATTTGACGTACAAACTAGCGAATGTTGCGTGCGTGCGTGTGTGAGTGAGGGAGAGAGAGTGAGTGAAGGAAGCGTAGACAGATAGATACATAAATAGATATTGGTTATTGTTTTTAATAATGAAAACAATGATTCGAGGTTACAACAAAAAAGAGTTGTCACGACCGGATACATGTAAACTATGGTAAAGCTAATCTAATTTTTCTTATATTTAAATTCATTGAATACAAGTCAGAATTAATATACATATGAATGAATGACGTGATTTATGTATATAAATTCGGAAACGGTTTGTAACTATACAATTGTAGGAAAATTGGATTATATTTCATGGAAAATATAATCAAAGTGAACTTAACAAAAATAATGCAAATATGTTTGTTTTCTTTGATAGTCCATTTTTTTCCAGTTATAAAAACAATACAAAATCCGAAGATATATATCATGAAATAATCAATGTTAGACCACCATTGGAAACTCGGAAGCACTGAACGACCGTTTCGTTCTAGTATAGGACTCTACAACAGTGCTCATCCACGATCTTACATGCGGGATTCGAACCAAAGACTTTTACTCTCTAGACCACTGCTAATATGTAGCAGTTACTCACTGAAGATAATGATGAACTGATGCACAATATCATGGGTGCATCCAGGTTTTCAATGTTGGTTCAACATTGATCCATTCATGATGCCAATTTAAAACTCAACAATCTCCACAACTCTATACTGATATATATATATTACATTATTCGCTTAATAATCTTCACTGTATAGTGCGAAAATTGTGCTTTCTTGTAAGATAATTGAATCCCCCAACACTTATAGATAAATTCTATTCTCGAGTATTCATTGAATTAATAATACAAACTATGTGGAAATTCTCATCTGTTGAGGATGTTAGAACCCCAGAATTCACTTGGGAAATACCTTAGTTTTGTAATTTTATTTTTAGAATTTAAATTTCTTTGGTTTTGCGCCAAAAACGTTCTTCTCATCTTCATGTCGTATTTCCCACTTGGGAGAATCTTTAACGCTATTGGTCCGTTGTATATTTTAGTACGCTATTTTGTAACGTTTCCCAAGGACAGTTTTATGCTGTATATATATGTTTAATTTGTGTCTGTTGTTATCGCTCGTGCTTCTCGCTACTTGCGGAATATATTTTCCCGTTCCAAGCTTCTACTTCTCTCTCTAGTTAGCGGGGCCGGGACGCATAAGAATATCTAGCTTATTGATCTTTGGTCACAGAGTTTTAGTTGCGTTCGCAGACTAGGGGAACCTGTAACCGCTTCAAACATAGCATCATCATAGAATTAAGATGTTATAAATTTATGAATCTAGATTTAAATAGAGCTTCACATTAGCTGAAAAAAAACTGAATAAATTTCTATTAGTAATATTATTCTAAACAAAAAATTCACCAATCATAATCAACGAGGTTTAGTTTAAAATAACAAGATGGAGAAAATCATATTGAACTTAGTAGTTAAGATTGATTTATGCATAAGTGGTAATGAATAATTTAAGATTCAATGGAAGTACAGCCGCTTGACGTAACGTGGAGCAAGTCCTCGCGCGTTCATAGCTGTACGACACTAACAGCTGAAACCGTTCACGATCGACCCGGGTCAAAGTCTTGTAACCTCACCACAACGCGCAACGAAGCACGCAAAGCAGCAAAGAAACCACCCCCCAACTGGACCGACACGTATCTGATCCCAGTCTGTCTGACTCGACCCCCAGAGCCAATCCTCCTCTCGAAATTACCGATCCAACTTGCCGAATTCACTAACCTACATTGTTCAATTGCCAGAGACTGTTCACCTTGGAGACCTGCTGGGGATATGAGTACGGCGTGCCACGAAAATTATGCTACCTTGCTTGGATTTTCAAGGGCCGACAAGAGCGTTTCGGACACCACATGAAGTGTGATGCTTTAAGGTCGACCGTATATACTCCTTATTGATAAGTGTTAGCTTCCACAAAAACTAGGTTCCAAATTTCTTGCTGATTACCATTAACTACTTTATATTCAAACCTATTACAATGATATATTATTTTATGAAAGTTGTAAGATATATTTATATAACACTAAGTATACTAAATAATGAACGATTGAATACTTTTCAACAACTCTAGATGTTCAAATCCAAGCCCTTAAAATCGGCTGTTATTACTCACTTTATAGAGTATAGGAAAATCCTTACAAACTTATTCAATATTCCTATATCAGTGATATATTTTTCTTTAATTCTTTTGTTTTGTTTCAGATACTACAAAGTTAATAACAAACTGTTCTTCAATAACCACATTAGATCATGATTCGCCAACAATAATCAAGAAATCTATTGAACATAATGACAATTCTACAATAAATGATAGTAAAGATGAACTTTATTATTCATCAACATCATTTTCATCATCTTCATCTCCATCATTTACCACATTCAATAATAATGAATCCGGAATTTCATTTATATTGCCGACAAATTCAAATCTTTCGAGTAAATACTTTAATCGATTATCGAATAGAACTTCTACAATAAATGATTCCTTAAATTTTATGGATTCAGCATTAGATAATAAACCTTTATCAAATATAAATCAAAATATTGATCAAGGAAGATTATCAAAATTTTCTGGATCTGAATTAATGGCAAAAATTCCATGTAATGATACAAATACAATATATGGTCATATTGAACAAGATTCTTTGTTAAATAATGAACCTGTATTTAATAAAGATAATTATAAAGATGGATTCCAGTCAAATAATGATTTGTCTAGAACATATATGTCATATTTTATACCTTCTTCTTCTTCTTCTTCTTCATCATCTTCTTCGCCCTCTTTCCAATCATCTCATTTAACAACTAATCTACCAGAAGTTACTACAGATATTGTTAAATTTCCATTTTATTTAATGTCTGAGAAAGCAAATAATTCATACTATACACAAACATATACAAATTTAGATTTGAATGAAGCAGATTGTATAACAACAGAATTTTTTTCTAGATCATTAACCGATAGAATTAATATACATCGAAATGAAATAAATAATGAAGAGGATACTTCAAATGATATTTCATCAAATCATTGTAGAGATACACCAGAATTTCCAACACAATATTCATTAATCTGACAGAAATATTAAAAACCTCAGAAATAAGAATTTTAATAATTAGCTTCATTGTATTTTATTGTTAAATCTTCAAATACAACTTACAACGTTGTAGTAGTGTTATTTAACACAGTAAATTAAACGAACAATTTTAACTACTTACAATAAAACAGTAGTTAAGTTTATATCACAAAAGATTTTGGTGCCGAAAAACAAAACAGAAAACCTTTTTGTCAAAGTAATAAGCACTTTCCATAGATGGAAGAACAAATCGAAGTTTTGAAATGAATATATATATATATATCGTTTATCTTCAGTTTTACTTGAAATGTTTTAAAGTATACTCTATTATTGATGGAGACTAGTTCCTTCTTTTTGTTTTCATTATTTTTAATTGCTGAATGTAAAAATATTAAGTACATAGTAAATCTTAAATATTGATTATTCTAAATTTTATAGATTAGGATTACTAGAAGTTCCATAATATATCACTTTTACTGCATATTGAATAATGAACTGATTCATATTGTAGATGATAAACGAAGTTATTCTATAGAACTATACTTTCTAACATTAGAACAAATTTCGAAGGCTTTGTGTCAATTACAAATATCATAAATTTATCATGAATAATAAAGCTAGAAACAAAAGATCTATATAATTTTGTTATTGAATTTAAAGTGGAAGTACGAAATGAGATAGCTATCTCGAATAATATAACAAAGAAAACGGTATTATGCATGATGGTTGTGACTTACATCTACCTAAATAAAAAAGGATATTTGTAATAAAATGAGTCTAATATGTAGAAGTGAATAAAATGAAAATTCGAGGTTGTGTTAGACAAAAAAAATTGTCAGGATGGAGGTTAGTGGAGATGGTAGTAGTTTAATAGTTGAAATCATGAGTAGATGTAAGCACTGGACGGCCCTTTCTTTGTAGTATGGGACTCCTCAACAGTGTACATCCACAATCTCCAATGCCGTGACCAGTGGAGTCCAATCTGTGTTAGATAGAGACAGGTATCTACTACAGACAATGAATGAATGGTTGAGCAAGATCATGGATTGATGGAAGCTAGGCATTAACACCGTTAGATGCCGGTTCAGTGGTCTAGAGTTTAAGCATTTGTGCCTGAGACCCAAGGTCCTGGGTTTGCGGCCCTTTGGTGCGGGATCATGGGTGAGCACTGTTGATGAGTCCCATAGTAGAATGAAACGGGCGTCCAGTGCTTCCAGGTTTCCAATGATGGTCTAGGTTACATCGACTCATGAATTCAACTATTAAATTACTAAAATCTCCATAAACCTCTATTCTGATGATAATAATACTAATAATATAATAATAATAATACAATAATAATAATAATAGTAATAATAATAATGACAAAAACATATTACAAAATTATAGTGATCACGCAACAGTCAACCAAATTGCACTACACTTGTGTAGCCTATATAACTTGCTCCATAAGACCAAGTGAACTGATAAACATACTAAGTTGAGTCAAAGTGAAAATTTATTATTAAGATATCGTTGAATAACTATTCGGCCCGAGAAAGTATTTCGAAGGTCTACAGAGCATAAATTCTTTGATAAAGATTTTGCTAATCAGCTTTTTTCTCAATTTCTACTGTGTCATTGCCTTTAGATTTAACATTCATCACCAATGACGTTTTTTCATTTACTTTTGTGTATTAGACTTCTTTTAATAAACCCGAGAAAGGAACCAATTTGAATAAGTGTTTATAGGATTACATTCAAATCGTCATTGGTAGTGCCCTCGATGTAAATTAGTCTGGTCTTCAAAGATAGAGAGTAGATTAAGTTTCTCGTCCAAACCAAATCCATTCAACTTGAAAATCCGTATATTGCTTATTCTAGGTTAGCATTACATATACTTATATTTGTAGAGAACTATTCATCTTTTTCTTCAACAAGATATCAAGGAATGGATATTCTGAGTTCACCTCCAACTCCAGCTTCAAAATAATTGACCCTAAACAATTATTGAATTCATGTAGGATACATTTAAGTTCACGATTTTCTTGATAGATAATAATAACGTCATCTATTTTTCTCTTGTATAGATAGAATCTATCGATCTAAATACTTTAAAGATAACTACTTCATATTCATTATCCAATAAGTATTGCGATCATATTAATGAAAACTCATTCTCATTGAAATAAATTACTCACCTTTTTAAAATATTATGAAGTGTACTTTACAAATACCTAGATGATTAAAATGATAAGTCTAACTTCACTTGATACTGTTTACTTGAATCTTCCCATTGTTGTTTAGGTCTGCAATTGATCAGTCTCATGTTGGCATATGTGCATCCTGTGCGAATCGCCTCGATATAGCCTTAAGTCACAAGCTTTTTAAGCAAAGATGGATAGTAGCTAGCAGTGGAATCCAGTTTGACGCGCGTTCCGTCCTCTTTGGGACTCGTCAGGTAGATGTACCTGCATCTCAGAGTTAATGTTCACTCTGGGACTTGAACCCAGTACCATTCACTTCAGTAGCTAACACGATGGCTTTTGAAGTGAACGGTACTGAGTTCGAGCCCCCCCCCAGCTCATGCAGATACATCTACCTGATGAGTCCCAAAGAGGACGAGACGGGCGTCTTGGATTCCACTGCCAGCCACTATCCACTTTGCTGATAAGTCTATCTGTTTAACATTAATTAATAACTAATTCGACATTGATTCACTGATTCTAGTAATCCTACTGAAATCTTAATCAACAATTGAATTTATTCAACACAAAGAAACTAGACAATAAGACAATGATTAATATCAGTGATAGATTATTACTATTTTATTTGTATGACTTTATTTTAAAAAAGCAATTAATCAAGATAACTGTTATAACTTGTGACCTTGTGCCCCTATCAACATATGATGCAATGATACCACCAATTAGAGAACAGTGATTTATGAACTGGACCAATGACGCATAAAACCCATACGAGCAGTCTAAAGCCTTTATCGGCTTTTCTCCTGCCTGTTAAGTCCAATCTCAGCCTCCGCGATATGAATCATTCATTTCAAACATACTGGGTTTATATACAAACTAAACAGACCACATCGTACCATAAAATAGGAAAAAACATTTGTACAAGATTTAGCCAAAAATGGCTGTGAATGTGGGAGACTGTAATTAATAGACGGGGCATAACTTAAGAACGGTAAATCGCAAAATACTAGTCTGTGGGTCAAAATAAAGCTTCTAATAGAAGGAACATGAACATGAATAGCTTAGTTACTTAACAATTAAACGATAAAAATATACTCATAGTAGTGATACATAAATGGATCCCATTCATTATTCTTGCCGGGACATAGCACATCTCCCATTTTTTGAAGATCCGGAGTTGATATCCAAATTTTAAATTTTCCGGGTTCATCCTCCTCCGCCAAATAATATTGGGTCCTCATATACTCAAGTCACAATTAAATTGATTTTATTTAAAACATATTGAACAGAGAATCTAGTAAAATTGACCAGATAGTGAGGATAAACGCCATTTAATTCGAGGTCATCAGAGTTTGAATCTTCTGAAATATTGTTATCAATTTTATTGGGAGCCTCATTTGTAGATAATGGATCATTAAGGTAGTCAGCATCTACCAAAATCGTGTTAGGTTTCTGATCATTTGATGCATCTGACTTGTTTTCTGGTAAAAGAGAATCTCGATAATAAGATTCGTCAGAAACTTCTGTCGCAGAATGATGAGATCCATTTGGAGCAGCTGCATTCAGTGTGCTGCTCGATTTGTTTTCTGTTACATAAGGGGTTATTGCGACAATTCTATGAACATTTAACAGGGTATCTGTTTGTGAGCTGGATAAGTCACTGTCTGCACATGCTGTTTCGAGGATAATGAAGTTTGAATCCATTACCGGGCATGTTTCAGAAATGGAGAGTACTGGACCACTGGGCGGATCTTGAGTGACTGCTGTATCGTTTGAAATACGGTTTGTCGAGGATTCATGGAGGCTACAATCATTTTCCAACTCAGTGTGCAATTGAGAAATTAACCCATCCTTTTCCGTTGCATCTACAAAGCATGAGTGATTCTGAAGCTGTGTGCGTAAATTGAATAAGAACTCCAATTGTCGCTCAAATAGCAGCTGTAATCGATCGGAAGGCAGAGTCATTATCTAAATCACCGGTAATGAAAATTACTGTATCACTAATGACCAATGTCGTTCAGGGACACCAATGGCAAACCTGGATGCTGATTGCTCGAAATAATTAGACTGAATTTCGTCCAATTACTCTGTCGCCAATTCTTATAACTTGTGACCTGAGTGCCCTGTTAATGGATAAGTCATGATACCGCCAATTGAGGACATAACACACTGTCAAACAAAACCTGGCTTTACTAAAAATTGTGACTAAACGGAGATATCGAGGTAATCTGCATAGAACGCACACATACCATACAAAGAGATTGATAAAGTTGGTAAGTTCATAGTATCAACAACTGTGAAATATAAATCCTTACAAATAACTCGATTGAAGAAGCTTACAATGTATTTTTCTGTCTTTACATGAAATTTTTTCCCAACCGAACATCATCTATCTTAATCACAGGAAGGAAATGTTTTAAGGTCGCCTCCTTCACTTATTATGGTAGCTTAGTTAACTATGATTGATTGGTGGTTGACAATAACTCGACACTGATATCCGATATCACTTGTTTCTTTTACAAACATCAGATATGGTGTTAGTAAAATGTATGGTGTATTTTACTACTGTAAATTCTGCTTCATATTACCCTATTTCAGTGAAGTATGGTCTTCAAAGTTAAGAGACCTGAGAATTTCTTTAATGGATGACTGTTCCATTGACTAAATACATTGAAGCCACTGAGTAGTGCTGTTAGGCAAATGTATGTAAGTTATTCAATGTAAAGAACATTCATTAGCTATAATACTGAAGACAAGTTACACAAGCCAATAGCATAAACAATCTCGAGGTTATATACTGTTTAGTGTAAATGAAGGAGATAAATAAAAATAGGTCTGTTAAGTAATAGTTTACTAATGTCAGTCTGTCTGCCTCTAATCGCAAATATAGAGCTTAAAATGTGACTCGCTGTTTTCATATGTGTAGTTACTCCCTACTTATGCTATTCAGTAAATTGATAAGCGGTAAAAAGACAAGATGAGAGATGAAGAATTTAAATAAATAGTCCTGAAAGTCAATCCTCTAACGACCAAAAAATAGAACATTTGGAAGCACTCAATTGACGACAGTTAGTGTGTGACTAGGATAGATTAAAATCTGCACAAGGTTGCAATCGTTTAACCTGTGATTAACGTGTACCTATCCGAAGAGCAAACAAATTTCCTATATTCAAACATTCGAAATCTATGGTCAACACTCCCTTCAGCCCTATGACATTTATCAAGAGCGCTTTTTTTAAGAGATAATGTAATTGGTAATAGAACTCAACTTCAATTACCTGCAAAATATATTCTGCTAGGGTGTATGCCCAAATAAACCATTTTAACTTGACCTAAAGGAATGACAAGAGATAAATGGCTATCAACTGAGGTCTGGTCAGGTAACGAAGCTTCAAGTTTAACTCTTAGTTTTTTAACTTTAAGACCGAACCTGGTACCAGAGGATCTCCAAATGAGCACAAACGGAAGTTACTTTTGCAATCAACAGATGAAAAGAATCTCACAGTTGAGTTTCAACAGTACAGAGTGCTTCAGTAGAAAGTCTTTTCAAAAATTTAGTAGTCAAACCTGTTTGCTTTCCATTGTAAATCAATTTGTAAAAAATTAAGGATGAAAGCTTAAATACCACAATTGACTCCATAATATTTAAGCCCAGCTTGTATTGAAAAAGAGCATTAAGAAATAAAACAGATTGAACCTTTAAATAATCGATAGATACATGATGAAATTCAAATGAGAATGGATGTAAGAAAACAGACAATACAATATCTTCAATAGATCAGATTATTGGATTAGGTGTTTATGTTTGAGAAGCACTAAAAAAGTGATAAATTCTCTTAAATCCCTATTTATGTCACATAATAACGCATCTGATAGCAGAGATTATATCAAAGAAGTTAACTGATATCACCTTCCAAACCTCCGGTCAATATTTCGGTGAAATTAAAGTATGAAAACAAACCAATCAGGTTCTAGATAAGATTTTCGAAATTCTTCAGCGAGATTCATCCATTCAAATGGGATTTTGTCCGTCACAGGTGATGTCAGCTTGTGATGAAAACTCTAACCTTAATTTCTTATCCCGACTCTCTACTAACCCTATTTTGAACCAGGAAATAGTTGAGACTTTGCAAGATCATATTTAAAGTCTCTCACCGTCTTCCTCATCCATCGATACCGCTAATATTTCTGATTCATGAGGTAATGGGACAAATATCAAAAGTCGCATCTTCAAAACAAAGTTTTACTACAGTAAATTCATACACAATTCCCTCTTTATCTTTGCAGATTACCAATTCAAAACTTTCCAAATGCTTTACATAGACACTGATAAGGTTTAATGTTTGAATAGTTCCATTGGTGATCGTTTTAGTGACTAATGATTAGCGATCATACGACTTTAGAAACAATGTCAGTTTAATAAATTCTATCACGTTTACCATACTAAGAATCATATTTTTTCTCTTAATTAAAAAGAATCGATGATAGAAATCACTGAAACTCTCATAACTTAACTGATAGATAGTTTACATTATAAATCTTAATCAGCATGAATCATCAACTACATTGATTGTTAGAATGAAACGATATAACCAACCAAGTAAACCTTTATTTCTATTTAAAATACCTGATCACATCTATTGAAAGGTGATTCTGAACATAGAAAGCTTTCTGCAAATACTACGGAAAAAAATACTCAAGGAATTCTAATATGTAAACTAACACACACACACACACACAAGTACATTTACACAATATTGTCAGTTTATATTTGTAAATGGTTGATGTAATACAATGTATATTCTGTCTGAAAGGTAAAAAAGCGCTATAGAGAACATTGAAAAAAGGCGTAAATAATTAAGCAAAATTTCCAAAGTAAACGAAAAAGAAATAATGTAGAACAATCTAAGCTACTTAATTCGATGCAAGTAGCACGAGTAATAGCAGATAAATTAAGCAGTAAACACACAGTGGATAAAAATGAGGTAAATAATAAGTAACAGCACAAAAATAAATAAAATAAATAATTCAAGATTATTCTACAAATGTACATTATTTTATTTTAAAAATATGAAATAATTAGGTAATACAGGATAGTCAATATCTAATAGAGAAGGAACTTGAAGTACTCTGTACAACTTCAAGTTTGTGAGTGTGTGTGTGTGTATGTATATCTGTTGATGTGTGAGAGCATTTGAAATACATTGATCTAATAGCTAAAAAAATGAAAGACAAAAGACCGCGGAAAATACAAACTCAGAAAACAAGAAAAACCTCTATTTTGATAGTGACAAGATAAAAAAAAGAGTAAAAAGTCAAGTAATATTTGCAAATCATTTACAAATATAAACCGAGAGTTGAGTTTTAGTCAGTTTCTTTTTGTAGAAGATATTCAAAATAAGCGTACAATAAACAAAGATAGTCGTTATCTTTATTTTACAAAAATGGTAACGATTTAAAATGTGTATAATTTGATAATAAGAGATAGCCTTCATTACTATAGTTACTGCTACTACCACTACCATTAATGTGGTGTGTGCTACTTATATTGACATAAGTAGTATATTATGTTAGTCGTGAACAGAAGGACTGGTAGCAGAGAGACAAGAGGATCGAACAGTAAAGAATGGAAACACGATGCAATTTGTATGAAAATGCAAGAACAATGAAGTTTGAGTCATTTTGAGACACTCAGTGGACATTTTGCAAATTAAGCATTTACTTTATGATTGTTAGATTTTATCAACAAGTCCTGTAATTTTGTGTTAAATACATTCGATTGTCTTCACTGGTGTTCTTGTTCACTACATCAATACAACTCATGAACACATAATTGGATATGATAGACGGTCAACAAATGCATATTGTAAAAACTAATAAACAACTAGAAAAAAAAACAGGCAACAACAATAACAGCTCAGACTACGTCTTAGCAACAACAAATACGTATCGTGTTTAGAGAGAGATCATAAGCATTTATGATGTAATATCCATAATAGTTTGGTTCTTGTTTAATAAATAGATGGTAACGAAAGAAAATAATAATTATCAATGATGAAAAGAAGAAAAATTATTCATCAATTATTATCCATTGATGAAGTAAATGTTGAAATTGATGATAAACAGTGAAACTAATACCTGAAGCTACTGGCCCTTTAATCCAATTCACTGATAAACCTTTATATAATCCATGAATAAAACCTTCATCTTTATATACATATCGTAATGTTTTATATACACTTTCTATGTATTCTGGATGACCTAGTTAATTTGGATAGATAATAGAAAAGTGAAAAAAAGTATTATATACGATGAATAAAATGTGATTAATAACTTTGAAATGTTTGCTTATTTGGTTAAGGTGTTTGATATCTTACCGCTAAGTCACAGGTACAAACTTCCCTCCGTTTACATTTCATTTATTTGTGATTTGGGCAAGCAAGTAAGTAATACTAGATCGAACATTAAAAATGTAAAAATGAAGTTAAATACACAAAACTGTCTATGTCGGACAGATGAGTAGGTAAATACTGAATAATAAGAAGCATATATTGTTAGCTGTTAAAGTATATCTGTAGAGTAAATAGAAATACATGAGTATACATTTCGACAGATTAGGCTAGATCTATCTCTTATAAAAAAAACACATCGAAAGATCTAGCCAATATTATGTGGCTACGGTCAAATACATGAAGGAGAATAAGAAAATCAATAATTATAGGTTATTTTCCACTGAGTCACAATGAGAAGTGTTCTTCTACGCGTTGGATATATGTCAATAAATGACCTATGCACCTAGTTCCATAAGAGATGCTAAACAAGTCACATTCACATATCCAGTGTACTTTGTCCTTTACTCAGATGCATACCAGTAAGAGGCTAGTATAACATATTTATACAAGCGGTTGTATAGAATATTCGTCTTCGTAAACTTTCCGAGCAATTAACAAGTTGAACCATAATATCATCCTTGAGTTCAAAATGATCATTTTTGAGTGATCTCAGATTTATATAGTTTAAATCTAAAACCAATCTTAGCTAAACCACCATTGAAAATATGTAGAAACTAAAAGACAATTTCGTTCTAGTATAAGACTGCTTAGCATCCGCGCATCCTGGGATCAGATCGAGGACATTCGGTCTCGCGTGCGAACATTTAACCTGTAGATCATTGAACCGGTAACCGACAGTGTTAATGTATAACTTCAATCAACTCACAATATTGCACAACCCTCATCTATTGTTTGTAGTGAATAACTGTCTTACACCCGACACGAATTAAGCTCTAGTGGTCATAGATTCGCGCGAGAACTCCACGAATCACACCATAAAGCCAGTCGTTAGTCAGCACATGATAATAAATTAGCATAGGGGGCTTACTTAAAATCGGTTAACAATAAACACTATTCAGAAAAAAAAATCATTTTTGAAGGCCTGAAATTCTTCTATGTATGTTTTTAAGACGCACGTAGTGAAAGAACAGATCAGACTTCTCTTACTGTTCATAGAGACAAAACCATTAAAATTCATCATCTCTCCATTCAACGTAAGTGGTTGTCATTATCGTCTCATTTTGTTTTATCTTGTGACTAAACGAGCTAAAATCGAAATCTTAGATGTAATTTACTTTTTTAGCGCATATTGGAAAGACGTATGACATTCGTTGAGTGCTTTCAAAGTAATAACCTTTCTTGCAAGTAATAAAAATTTTGTCAATAAATCTCTTGGATATGTTAGCCTCACAATTTCTCTAGGGCAAACTTGCTAAGCAGAAACTAGTTGGAAATGGACCTATGGGGTATAACATTGCAATATTATCCATTAATTACTAGACCTTATTATTAAAGCTGAGCTCAAACTACCGAGTACATTTGAAAATCGACTCCTTCTAGTAAGATGTTGATACATTTACACTTAATTTGCACGTATCACACATATGAAACCACATATAAAACATAATATATCAATAAATAGAACGTTCCTAAATGAAAATCGAAAACTAACTAGACACATCTGATCGTAAATAAGATCTCTAGGGTTGAAGTATGAAAGAGTTTATCACTTTGCGGTTCCCAAAAATGTGAAAAGATATTTCATACTGAAGTACCTGAGAAGGAAACTGGATTAAATTTGGTCGCAGTGACCTGGGAGCGTGACTGCAGAGCCCAAAAATCTTATTATTATTATTTTTATTTATTTATTATTTGAATACATAGATATTGGTACAAGGAGGCACTAAATACATATGCGCAATACAAATCTCATTCGATTTGTGTGAGGGCTGTGATACTGCCCGGCTGCACAAACCGAAGCAGTTGGTTTTCTTAGGAGGCCACACCCCGAACCTTTGACCTAAAGGTCTAATCCACAAGACAGTGGAGCAACGTCAAGAGATGCAGTCCGATAGAAGCTGGTGACCAACGATTGGTTCATACACCATTTGTTCCCTTAGGATATTGGAGCCCATGTGCACCATTGGTTTGGAATCAGGGTTTACCGACTCCCATAGACGGACCCTCATATCCACCGACGCGAATAAAGCGTCGGACATTCGCCTTTCGTCCTCTCAATTTCGTAAACAGTAGTGCCGCGAGAAGGCAGTGAGTAAGACATCCCTGGCAGAGGCTATATACGCGTGGTCATGTGAAAGCATTTCGAGAGGGTGAGCGGACTCTCCCCACTCTCGGCCGTATCAGGGCATTTGGGGGCCCAAAAATCTACTTGAGGTCGATCAGAAAACGTCTTTCTGTGAGAAATTTAGAGGATTAGCTCCGTGTTTCAAAAGACCACAGAAATCCGTGGGGTATGAGATTTATAGAGCTAACCTTTTAACGCCATCTTTTCGTTGTAAGAATGAAGTATGTATGCAGATGCTGCTTATCTGAGGGAAACACCTTACTGCTCTTACCCCTCAGTACAATCAGCAGTGCAATTTCGCCTCCAGATCTTAAGTTTTCTGCTTTTCATCTTATCGCTCCCCTAAAAGAATAAGTGTTTCAGCTAAAATAGCTCGACTGCATCGTTACGATAGGTAACTCCGACCACTACTTCAAGGTAGTAGTTACGATCGGAAACACTTCATCGAACAAGGTCAATTTGATCAGTATAATATGTTTTGAAACCTTGAAGATTTATTAGGTTATCACATAAAACCAAGTGAAATCTATTCCATGAAGTATTTTATTATTATTTTCATCATCAAATACTTGAATTTACCATATAATCTTTCTTGGTCAATGAGCATTTTTTAATTTTACACGAAAATCATTCGTAACTTATTGTGTAGAGAAAAGATATTAAATATCAAGTTAATTTAACAGTCAACTTTGTTAGAATCTTCAAGATTTATTTTAACAAGTTAAAATATATTGTACAAATAAATGTATACAATGGTACATTAACGTGCTTTTAATTGTATACCTATTATTTGTTTTTGAACTAGTTTTAAACACATTGAGAGCAATAAATTAAGAGATCACTTGACAGGAATGTTATTGTTTTTTTCTTGATGTATAATGGATGGTTTTAAATACTTTTATCAGTTTTACATATATATATTATGATATGTTAGTACGATGAGACTAGTGTCACGATGTTATATCAGATCCAGGATTCATAAACCAGAATAGAAAACCTAAGTACAATCTAGATAATACTTGATTCAATAAAATTACAAGTAATGTGTCTCAATGAGTTCAGAGTAGAAAATCAATGAAAGGAAAGGAAATCACATATATTTGACAGTCTATAAGTTAAGTGCATATTTGTCCACGCTCAGTGAGCAATCATATATGAATTTCAGTATCACACATCGATTTTTCGCTTTAGCTTTTGGATTAATATTATGAAACCCGACCGTTGTTGCTACGTTGACGTGGTGGTCGGGCTTGCCTATCGTGATGAAGCGACCGAACTATACTGCCTGGAACAACCGTTCCTCAAGGTCCGAAGGCGAAGTCGTACTGCCGACTGTACAGAGGTGTGACAGCAGTAAGGTGTTTCCTTCAGACAACCACCATGACAGCGATGCTGCCTTCCCACAAGGAGAGGTGGGGTTAGAAAAGGTCGACCCTAAAAATGCACACTTCGCCTTATCTCGCGGATATCCGTCTCCAGCGGTAAGGTCTCAACAAGTACGGAGCTAACACAAAAATCACTCATAAAACAGTCGGGTGTGACCGACCTCAAGTAGTTGTCCCTTGGGCACTGCGGTCACGCTCCCAGGTCACTAAGACCACCTCTAATCCAATTTCCTTTTCAGGCACCTCCAGAAGAACCCTCCCACGGTGTGGGCAAACGGGAAGTGATAACCGCCCTCATACCTCTAACAGCACTCAAGACCACTGACTGAATACTATGAAACACTATAACAATACAATAATTTTAATAGACCGAAGGTCCTGGATTTGAATCTCGCGTGCGGGATCGTGGGCGCGCACCGCTGAGAAATCCCATACTACGACGGAACGGCCGTCCATTGCTTCTAGGTTTTCAATGGTGACCTAGCTTACATCGATTCACGGATTCAACTATTAAATTACTGCAATCTCCACAAACCCTATTCTGATCATAATACGATAATTATCATTATGATTTTTTCCATAATACTGTCGTGAACGAGAACACCAATGAGGACAATTAAATGTATTTTAATACATTACAAAATAACTTGGTAAAATCTGAGAACCATACAGTAAATACTTCATTTCCAAAATATCCATCAACTGTCTCAGACTTTGTTATTCCTTCACTTCCATATCAATCACTCTCTGTTCTCGTTCTCTTCTCTTCGAATTCTCTTAACCTTTGCCATCAGGCATTCCACTTTCGATTGGCAATACATGCTACTTATATCTGTCGTCATCAGTAGCACACACCGTAATACAATCAACTGTTTTTATATTAACTGTGATACATAAAAAGAGTATATTTTTAACTGGTTCAAACACATTTATGATTAAGAGTAGATAGAGTATATTAGTGGTTAAAATTTATTCAACTTTCAATAATTAACTCTTAAGTTAAATCTCGCAGATAACACTGATTTTGATTTAAAACAGTTATGCAATCGTATCAACAACTCTTAAACCAAATATTTACAAATATGCACGAATCTGTACTTAATTATTAGAGAAAAAGACTAGTCGAGAGAAAATTGTTCAATATGCTTAAGCTATTTAAATGAATAAGGTCACAAACCAGAAAATTACATGTGATTGAGAAAAGTCAGTCGATTATAATATTAATGTGAAGCCTGACATATTTTTTACGAAAAAAACACAACAGTAATGCGTACATTTATGTTTGATGAATTGAACATTTAACATAGACTAGTAATCAGCGTCAAGTCTAAAAGGAGAATAACTAGAACATAAAGCTTAGGATAGAGTTCATTGAAGATTTTTGGTTGATGATTAATATTCAACGAGGGGTAACAGACGTAAGTAAATAAGCAATGACAGAAAAACATCCGAAAAATGTTTTTTTTTAAAAATAAAACTGAGCTAAATAACTAAACTATTGAAATATCTAATGATTAGAATAATAAAAAATGTATAATTAGTTAAAATGCATCAATATTCGCAATAACTTCTAAAGAAAATATACATTACACGATAGATTTCTAAATGATACATTTTTTTCTCATTATAGTATATTTTTAACTGAACAAATTTTATAATCTTAACCATTTTTTTTATTTCGGGGACAAAAAAAAGAAGATTACTAGAACAAACATACACATATGTCAGCTATGGCACAGTTATTCACCGTAGGGAATAGATGAAGACTGCACAATATCATGAGTTAATTGAAGTTATACATTAACACTGTCGGTTACCGGTTCAATGATCTATAGGTTAAATGTTCGCACCCGAGACCGAATGTCCTCGATCTGATTCCAGGATGCGTGGGTATGTGAATGTATATTGCTAAGCAGTCTTATACTAGGACGAAACTACCGTTCAGTTCCTCCAGAGTTTTCAATGATAGTCTGGCTAAGATCAATTGATGATTCAAAAACTATAATCATTAAGAACAATCACATGTTTAACAAGTTCAGCCTTCATTAGATGTAAGGCGGTGAGTGGATTTATCAATAACGAAACAAAATGAAAAAGAAGAAAATAAAGGTATACACAGCACCGAAAATAAGTTAAATAGCATACCTGTAATATTAGCAGTTTGCATTCTTCGTCTAACAATATCTAGTGGATAAGAAGCAGTTTGTCCTAAAATTCCAGCCACTGCACCACAACATAAATTTTCAAATGGATACAGTTTTTTAGGCCGTTTACCAGTGATCGGATCTTTGTTTCTGTCTGAATAGAAAAGCAAATAAATATTATTTATGTAAATATATACAATACAGATTCTTACGACCAATTTATAATAATTGTCACACATGAAAATCATAAAGTAACATCTGAACGATTGACTTGCATCAGTTAAACTTAAATATTTCAGTTAGAAATAAACAAGACACTGAATAACACAAACAAAAAGAGAAAAAACAGTGGTGTTATTAGTAGCGATGACGTAATGTAAGATGCTTATGTTATGGGTGTTTTTATCCTTTACAAACTGAAGTCATACCATAATGGTAGACATCTTTAAATCATAGAGGATTCATTTTCTTGACATTGTGTGAGGGAAAACAATACATTATGGTTAGGTAAATCATAAAAAATGGATTTAAACGCAAATAGAAGACAAAACTTGGTCGGAAACTGAGTGATTAACTGATTTGGAGTTGCCTACAGTGTGGTGGACAACAACAAACAATGAACCATTACACACATACACGTAAAATAATTTTAAAACAATAGTTTTAGAAGAACAAGAGTTAAAATAAAGTGCTTGATAGGGAAGAATAAAAAGAGACGATCAATCGTAAATAGGTAAAGAAATGATATAAAAAAGGACTTCTTACCTAAACAAGTTTCTTTCAGTGTTTCAAACGTAAAGAAAGCTGTCCCAGCATATGGGATAATACCGAGGAGAGCAGGGGAAAAACCACGATACAATGCACTTAATCCTTCTTCTGTATAAAGAGCTCGTATAGCATGAAAAAGACTAGAATATCTGAGTAAATGAACAAAAGAAATTATATATGGCGGAAGTAACGAAATACAGATCCATAATAATGAAGTATCAAACTACGGATAGTTTTTGCTTAGACAACAAGCAAAAACAAAAGGGTACTGACACAGCTAGTGTGAGACTCAGTAACAGTAAACATCCACAACCCTAGCTGGGGTCGAGCACGGGGCCTTCAGATTTCGGAGCGCATGCTTAATTTTCACACCACTACGTCGATAACCCAGTGGTTGACATTTTTAACTTCGGTTGCTTCGCGATATAGTGCAATTATTATCTACTGCCTAAACATAGCCAGTCAGTAATAGGAAAATTCAAAAATCTTCACAGATCCCTACAATAACGGTCATCATGTGATTACTGGTGATTAACCTCGAGGTAATTCCTGGAGTTTAAATGGAAAGTAGTAACCAGTAGTGTTCAACCTTGTTAGTAGTGAGACATATCAACAAAGGCAGTGCACGATAGTTGTGTAAGATCGTGAATTGTTTAACGTCAGAAATAAGAACCAGTGGATACAAACTTAGTGATTCTGCATTCAATCACAGGTGGGGCTGTGTATGTGCACTACTGACGTGACCTACACCATGACGAAACAGTGATTCAGTGCATTTTGGTTTCAAATAGTTGTTTAAACAGATATTTCATAATGTGAAACTTCAAATCCAAAAGTCTTAACAACACCCCACAAAAATAATAATAACAGTAATAGTTTTATAAATAACTAGTTTTAATGATAAATAGAATAATTTGACGGTAGAATTAACTCAACTAACGATCACAAGTACATCTACTAAAAGAAGTATACTGTTAAGTATACAGGTTCACAGAAAGAATCATGATAATTCATAGTTTTATTCCATTGACAAAAATGTAATTAGATCCTATAGATTTATGCTTATTCCATTGTGATCAAAAGGTAAGTTTTATGAGTAAATCTCCATGTTAACAGGATAGAGCATTGATTAGTATATGTCGGATCATGTTAATTGTTTTGTTTTCAACTAGTCAGGTATTACTGGATAGATTAAAAAGATAGAAGGTTCCTATGTAAGTCATACTTAACATTTTACTACACAATATGTTCTTGTTTCAATTCTCAAATAGACCCCTGTCTGCTTACAGGTTTCATGATGATTTAAGACTAGTCGAGTAAAGTATTTTGCTTAAAAAATACTAATTAGTAGAGTAATCACAGTCCATTTAGCACTAGTAATATTTATTTTTCATAGATAAAAAAAGATCCCGATCGAAGCTGCTACCTTGACGCGGTGGTCGGGCTTGCCTATCGTGATGACCCAACCGAGCTATATTGGCTGGAACATATGTTCCTGCAGGTTCTACCATGCCAGGCAGGTCGATTGGCGAACGGTAAGACTAAAAGCAGCAACTCAAGGTCTGAGGGCGAAGTCGTACTGCTGACTGTAGAGAGGTGTGACAGCAGTAAGGTGTTTCCCTCGGACAACCAGCATGACAGCGATGCTGCCTTCCCACAAGGAGGGGTGGGGTTAGAAAAGGTCGACCCTAAAAATGCACACCTCACCTTACCTCACGGATTTCCGTCTCCGGCGGTAAGGCCCTTGAAGAACGGAGCTAACACGTCAAAAACCTTCCACAAAAAGGCCGTGCGCGACCGGCCTCAAGCAGTTGTCCCTTGGGCTCTGCGGTCACGCTCCCAGGTCGTCAAGACCAACACTAATCCAATTTCCTTTTCAGGTTCCTCAAGAAATACCCTTCCACGGTGTGGGCAGCCGGGAAGTGACATCAGCCCTCATACCCGTAACAGCACAAGAGACCAAGGTGGTCACATTCAAATCCTTCCTACACCTCCTAATACCTCTCTTATCCTCCCGACTAACCCTCCTCACGTCTCTTTATCACCTCGCACCGCTAGGGCAAACGATTCGAGTACGTGGAACGCCATTCCTGGTCTCCTGAAACCACGCTCTAAACTACACGTAGGAGCTTTTAACGTACGAACACTGTGCCAAATAGGACAGCAGGCTTCCTTAGCTAGGACTTTAGAATCTCGCGCCATCGATGTGTGCTGCGTCTCCGAAACGCGCATACAGGATCCGAGTAGCGTCATTCATTTGACCTCACCATGCCAAAATAAAGAACCGACTCGATTTACGCTTCGTGTATCTGGAAGCCCTGATTCTGCTTCCCGTGGCCTCGCCGGCGTAGGTATAGCATTGAGTCCTAGGGCAGAACTAGCTCTCTTAGAGTGGATCCCAGTAAACAGTCGTTTGTGCGCTGTCCGACTGAACGGAACAGTAAGAATCCGGAAAGATAGGGACACTCGTCGTTGCCTCTTCGTCGTCTCTGCCTATTCTCCCACTGACTGCAGCTCAGATGATGTAAAAGATGAGTTTTACAGAAAGCTTTCGGACCTTCTCCGAAAAGCTAAGCGCTCGGATGTAGTAATAGTGGCCGGTGACTTTAATGCTCAAGTAGGTAAACTAAGCGATAAGGAAAGACACCTAGGTGGATCCTATGGTGTCGTGGCTCAAAGAACAGATAATGGCGACCGTCTGTTGCAGCTATGCTCAGATAACCGCCTGTTCCTTGCAAATACTAACTTTAAGCATAAGGAAAAACATCTTTTAACATGGCGACCCCCTAATTCGTCCCAACGTTGGACCCAAATAGATCACATCGCTATCAGCCACCGATGGAGGGGCTCGATAGAAGACTGTCGCTCATTCTGGAGCACATGCCTAGATTCAGATCATGCTCTAGTGCGAGCGCGTATTTGCTTGCGTCTTACTGGACGTAGGAAAGATCCTGCAAGGAAACCTCTTAGGGCCCTACTTAATGATAGTCAAGCTAAGAGTATATTTCAGGAACAACTAGGAAAACAGTTAGGCAGCCATGTATGTGATGCCCACCCCGAGGCAGCATGGAATGATATCCGAAAAGCTGTGGAAACAGCAGTGATATCTGCTAGTAAGGTAAACCGAAGTTAGGGAGCAACACTGGATCTCAGCAGCATCTATCGCACTGATAGATGCTCGAAACTCATTCCACCTGGCTCTGAACATAATGAAGAGCGGAGTCAGCTTAAGCGCAAGCTGACAAGAAGTCTACGCAATGATCGCGAACAGTGGTGGGTAGCGAAAGCAAGAGAGATGGAAAAGGCAGCGGCAATAGGTAATAGCAGACAATTGTTTAGACTCGTTAAGGAAACCGGAATTAGGAACCCGACCGTTAGCGAAACAATCTCAGAGAAAGATGGACATATTATTCATTCTCAATCCAGGAGATTGGATCGATGGGCAGAACACTTTAGGGATCAGTTCAACTGGCCTTCAGCCACACTTCGGTTTCCCACGATCTCCAGTCAACCTGAATGGCAAGTTAATGTAAGTCCTCCGTCCCTTTACGAAGTTGAAAAAGCCATAGGAAATCTGAAACGAGGGAGAGCAGCAGGCCCTGACAGGTTTACTCCTGAGATTTTTAAGGATGGTGGTCCAGTATTAGCATGAGATTAACTGAGGTCTTAGGTAGAATTTGGGAACTGGACGTAATCCCATCTGACTGGTCTCAATCACTGATTGTGCCAGTTTAAGAAAGGACAAAAGTCCTCTTGTGACAATCACAGAGGAATCAGTTTGACTAATATAGTGTCTAAAATATTAGCCTCAATAATACTTCGACGCCTAACTAAAGCTCGTGAAGAGCAGACTAGAGAAAACCAGGCTGGTTTTCGACCTGGACGTGGTTGTATAGATCAGATATTCACACTACGTCAGGTTCTAGAACACAGACACACATTCAGACGCCCCACAATGGTAGTATTTCTCGACCTTAAGGCGGCATTCGACTCGTTGATCGTGAGGTTCTATGGCAGTGTTTGTCACTGAAAGGAGTACCAAAGAAGTACATTAACCTTATAAAGGCTCTCTACTCGAACACAACTGGTAGAGTGAGAGCTTATGGCGAACTGTCATCAGAATTGATCACCTCAAGTGGTGTTCGTCAGGGCTGTCCACTCTCCCCATTCTTGTTCAACTTTGTCATTGACGTACTTTTAGAGATAACACTCTCCTCATCTAAATTTACAGGGGTTGAACTTCTACCAGGAGGTTCACTTGTTGACTTAGAATATGCAGATGACATAGTTTTATTTGGTGAAGACGCTGACAAAATGCAGAGTCTTCTGACCACTCTAAGCAACAATGCAAGCATGTTCGGGATGCGATTCTCTCCCTCGAAATGCAAAATGTTGCTTCAGGATTGGGTTACATCGACACCCGAACTAGTGATAGGGAGTGAAGTAGTTGAGTGTGTCGACCGCTTCACTTATCTTGGAAGTCTCATCAGCCCTTGTGGTTTGGTGTGTGACGAAATCTCAGCACGGATACAGAAGGCTCGACTAGCTTTTGCCAACTTGCGTCATTTATGGCGTAGGCGAGATATCCGTCTATCAACCAAAGGACGTGTTTACTGCGCAGCAGTTCGTTCCGTCCTACTTTATGGCAGTGAAACATGGCCGGTAAGAGTAGAGGATATCCGTAGGTTACTAGTATTCGATCATAGGTGTCTTCGAAACATTGCTCGTATATCATGGGACCATCGAGTAAGTAACACAGTTGTTAGGAAACGGGTACTAGGTAAGGATGGCAAATCAATTGATGAAGTAGTGAAACTTCATCAGTTGAGATGGCTGGGACACGTGTTACGTATGCCCAACGACCGACTGCCTCGACGTGCTATGTTCAGTGGTATAGGAGTAGGTTGGAAGAAAGCTAGGGGCGGCCAAACCAAAACATGGCACAAGTCCATGAAGTCACTGACAAGTGAACTGAGTCATGTTGGTAGGTGTAGACTACCTGGTTGGGGACCGCGAGATGACAGCAACCGATGGTTAGAGACCCTGAATGACATGGCTCAAAATCGTTTGCAATGGCGCAGGTGCATCCACTCTCTGTGTTCTCCCAAATTCTAATCTTCTGAATTCTTCATGTCCCTTTTTTCCTCTTTCCAAATTTATTTCACTGGATTATACTCTTTAAATAACATCTCCAAACCCTTATCTTCCCGATCACTGCTTATACTCTTATTACCTCTACCACTACGGGATTTGAATCGACAACTACATCTCTGTGCTAATGTGGTGTGGCAACTCGAACTGATGTACGTACGTACGAAGTTCTACGTTGTTACTGACTGACTGACTGATTTTTCATAGATGGTTTCAAAGTTTTATTAATCAATTGTAAGTAACTTGTTGTTTGTAAGGTATTAGATTGAGACATAAAGTATGTTGATCAGACTGCGAAGTTGTATCAACTTGTCAATTAGAATTTGTAGTACACATCCTTAACACACTATACTGGCTAACATGTAAATTGGTAGAAGAAAAGAGTTGGAACAAAATATCACAATAATTCACAAATTCATTTAATATTGGTATAAGATATGTTGAGAGATACAGACGTTCATGTTAGAATCCGTTAGATAATCATAATCTATATTTAGAGACCTTGGATGATAGTGGGTCGATATCAATCGCAGTGGTATGGGTCTATTCATTTTTCATTTTCCTGTAGATTATGAGTTTAATATTACTATTATTATTTTATACCTCTTTTGCTTCAATTTCATCCGTTTTGTTTCACAAACTATGTATTCGTCATGCTTGATAATTTATTTGTTATGAATGGTACAACTATTGTTTCAACTCATCTAATTAACATTTCCTTAGCTATATATATACTAATTTAAAATAAGTTACAATGATTACATACAAATGAAAGCCAGTATACCACTAGATTTTAATAAATGTGGTTGTATTTTGTCTGGAGAGGTTTTGGGAATTAAGTTAATTTATAGTTGGTACTGATCATGAATTAACTTCAGTTCGAATACTTTTGAAAAACTAAGGAACACTAGGTTACTGAGACTACTCAGAAGTGTATATTATCCACTGTTTCGTTAGGGTTAAAAGTTAGAACCTTCAAGTTTTGTATCTTAGATGTAGAATAACTTTCGAATGGTTATCAGTTAGCAAAAAAAAAGATAATTAAAAGCAGTAATTAAAGGATAAAAGGTTGTTTAAAGATCTTGTAAACAGTAGTGCACATGAACATATGGTCGGTAAAATCTTAATGCTTTGAGAAATTTAGGAAGATTATAATCTGAATAATAGGTTCCAAAGATATATCTTGTTGTGTATGTAATTAGTTAGGTTAGTCAGTCAGCTAGAACGTAGGAATTGAAGAGGGAGATTGATTATGAATACAGTGATCTTGAGTGCTGTTGAAATTATGAGGGCGGTTATCACTTCCAGGTTGCTCACACCGTGGAAGGGTTCTTCGAGAGGTATCTGAAAAGGAAATCGGGTTAGAGATGGTCTTAGTGACCTAAGTAACCTAAGATAGGTTAGTGAACGTGGATTAATTTAATCTTATCCTAGCTTTAAATATTTGACCAGTTTATAGTAGTTAAATCAGTGTCAAATTAATCTGGATATCAAATAATCATAGTTCACCGGGGTGATGGCAGTAGTGATATTGGTTATGATTAAAACACTTGACTTTCAACCAATAGATTCCGCATAATAGCCACCCCCCATTAGCATTAGTTTGAACAGTCAAGTAGTATTATTAGCTCCCGTACAAACAGTGTAGGTCAAAGTTAAGTAAATACTTTTGTACTTGATAAATGAATAGCAAGAGAATCATACGCAAAAATCAATGTATCTCCATAAAATAACTGGGTAATTTTGAAAAAGCAGTACATGGATGGATTTACTACTTATCCTTCTCTAGATCCTGAGTTTCAATACCTTTCCGTACATACCTTTGTTTGGACTGTATTCTCAATGTTCAGTCTTTATCGCAATCACTGTTACTACTATTACCTGCATGGTTATTTTATCTGATTGTGTTTATATTGTATGGCAACTTGAGTCAACATGAATCTGTACTAGGTTCTGAGTTTTATGGCCAACTCCCCAAGGTAGTTGAATCGGAGTTTGAATCTATAATCGAATCGAGTGATTAAACCATTAAGCCATTGCGTCTCACGTTAATCAAGTATCTTAACTTATCCCGTTAAATCTTTAGCAATAAGTTACTGCAAGTTGGAATTTAGATATCATGAGTTCATGCAAATGTACCATAATTTTAAAAAATCAGCAACGTTTAAATAGAAAACACCACTGAATTTTCTCGTGACCTTATATATATATATAATCACGTGTTTATCATGTGCTTATACGATCATTGATATATATTAAAATAGGTTACAAATAAAGATAGTGAATAGGATAATCTGTTGTAAATATAATTACGATGGTGACTGAAAGTAGATCATTTAATAAGTTGAAAACCTTATCATACTAAATTAAGTGATTCCAAAATATGTTGTCAGCAAGAAAATACAAACATGGCTTCATTTTAAGATTGACAACGAAGACCACTGAACAACTTTTTGATTCTAGGTTGAGACTTTTTAGAAATTATGTACACTAGCGATCCTGATATGTTATCACAACTTCTCGATACCAGAATACAACTATTACGCTATCGCATAGCCCCGATTACTCTAAAACACAAATCTTATGGGGAAGATTAGTTTGGTGAATACTAACGAATAATACTTCACGTTCGAATTCATCCTATTATATATCAATCGCATTCAGTGATTATTAGTTAGAAAGTTTGTCACATGAACAGAAATCACCTTTAATAAATGTATGAATCTTAAGATTGACTTCATAGTACGCTACATTTGAAAATTTAACGTGCCCTAACAAACCCAAGGCACGAGTGCCGAACTCAAGATCTTCACGTTTTGCTGAGACCATAATATAATTATTGTACTACTGAGTCAGTATTCAACAGTGTGCACACATTTTGAACAAGCTCAATTCACAATTTATAGTGATTTCATCATAATAAGTAACACCGGAGATATTGTGCCCCATCCATATATCTAAAACCTATGTTCCTCGATATGAGCACAACTAATATCTAGTTATGTTAAATTCAATTGAAAATGTACACCTCAAACAATAAGACTTATCTAAACCACAACTATTTACAGTTCACATACAACTCTGTATGACAATTTTAGACAACTGACAGAATGAGTTAGGCATCTCGACAGTATTCTCATTTGCCATAAATAAAAATTTGAGTAATAATTCTAAACAGAAGAATCATAAACGGTCGATTGGTTGATCAGCTTAAAAAGAATCCAGCATAAATGGTTAGAATAATGACTTTACTTAGGCAATAATTCTATGCATAAATTAACATCTATATTGGAGCCGAAAAATGAGTATTTAGGAAGATGTCAATCGCTTTTAATTCCTATTAAGTTCTAACTTTAAATATGCTACACAAACCAGTCGGTAAAACAATTTTAAAGATTACACAGTGGAGATAACAGTGCGTTGAATAATGATAAGTGAGAGAAAAATACGTCAAAGTCAAACTGATCAATTAATTAATTTTTTTCGCTGTATAGGGTAGTAATACGAAGAGTTGGATAAGCTTACAATGAGGAAATGAACCAAAAAACTTTTATCGAACCGAATATTTATTCACTTAGATATTTTGAGTTGACTATCCACCCCTCTCACACCAGTGAATAATAGGCGAGAAAAACCTAGTTTCCTAGTGATTTCTGAGAGAATGATATTATCAAGAGTGTTTTGATTTAAATTGCCCCCGAATGTCGAGGTACGGCCAAGAGTAAGGAGAATCAACTCTCCTTCTCGAAATGCTCTCACATGGCCACGTGCATACAACCACTGCCAGGGAAGTCCAACTCACTGCCTCCTCGTGGCGGCGGCGTTGTTTACGAAATTGTGAGGACGAAAAGCGAATGTCCGGCGCTTTAACCGGGTTGGTGGATATGGAGGACCCACCTAGGGGAGTTGCGAAACCTTGATCCCAAACCAATAATGTACATGGGCTCCACGTTCCCGAGGGAACAAATGGTATATGAACCAACTGTTAGTCACTGACTACCATGGAATTGCATCTCTTGGCGTTGCTCCACTGTTTTGTGGATTAGACCTTTAGGTCAAAGGCTCGGGGTGTGGCCCCTGCTTCGGTTTGTTTAGCCGGCCAGTATCCCAGCCCTCACACAAGTCGAGT